GAAGCGTGTTGTTGTGGTGGTGGTTGTTTACCTTCAGTCATTTCCGAGCCTATCGTGGGATTTTCTTGGCGAGAGTCGTTCAGAAGGGGCTTGCCTTGGCCATCCTCTGAGGCTGAGAGAGTGCGACTTGTCCAATGTGGCCACTTACTGAGTTTCATTGCCCAAGCCGGGATTCGAACCCAGGTCTCCCAGTGCTCAGACCACTACTAGTCCCTCCTAAATATGATGAAGGGGGAGGCTTTTCAGTACACGTGTGAAGACTCCTCTGCGCGTGTCAGAGTCAAAGGGAAGGCTCCCACCTGCCCTGTCCTAAATCAGCCCCGCGCGAAGTTTCCCGCGTGTTTTTGTCCTCGTGGAGGTGCCCGCGCGTGGAAGGACCCCTTGCCCAGAAACAGAAAGGAAGCGCGTGGAGTTCGTCGTATTCTCCGAGCGCTTCGACTTGCCTTTTGGACTGGACACACTCTCTCAGCCTCAGAGGAAGGCAAAGGCAAACAAACCCCCTCTGAACCAATCTTGCCCAGAAAAACTCATGACAAGGGTCTCCTAGGGTCTCCATAAATCGGAAACAACAACAACAACAACAACAACAAAAACAACAACAACAACGGGTCCCCTTCAACTTCGCCTAACATTTGGCTCCCTTTATTTAAGGACAAGGGGCCGCCGGGAGCTGGTGGATCTTCTAGTTTGCAAACTTCTTTTTGTGACCCCTAGAATGCGATTCGTTTTGAGAAGACTAAACACTTGGATTAGTTTTGACCAAAATCTTTGGATTAGAAAGCTTGACTCAAAACTCTTAATCAGACTATATGGAAAACTCCTCGGTTCCGACTTGTTGAGTTGAGCCTCATCTGTTTTCTCTCTCTTGGCATTCCTGCTTAACGCTAATCTAGTGTGAATCAATCACTCCTTAATTCAATTAAATCCAATCCCTTGTGGATACTCACAATCCGAATGCAATTTGCTAGCCTTCCGATAGGAGCCAGCGGGGCCTAGTGCTCTGAGTGTCGGACTAGGACTCTGCAGACCAGAGTTCGAATCCTGGCTCGGCCATGAAACTCACTGAGTGACTTGGGCAAGTCACATTCTCTCAGCCTCAGAGGAAGGCCATGGCAAACCCCTTCTGAAGAAACTTAAAAAAAAAAAACCCAACCACAAAGCATGATAGGCCTTAGGGTCGCCATAAGTCGGGAACGACTTGAAGGCACACAACCACAACAAAAATAAAAGCGAGCGAGCGAAAAGTGAGTTTTCCAGTATCTTTTAATAAGCAGGAAATCTAAAATGATAGGTTCTCTCAAATTAATTTCCAGAGTAGAGACTTGATGGGGGGGGTATCAAGGAGGAGCTTCTTAATACACGAAGCATTCTGGGTTAACTGGAAACTTTGCCATGCTGAGAGCAACAGAAACCATTTCTCTAGCAGCAACTCTCCTCCCAGCAATCTCACTTTGGCAGCAAAACCAAGAGAAATAGAGGGCTTTGCAGACTGCCAGAAATAGTGCAAATTGAGTCCACTTTAAGGGTTAGGGTTAGTGCTTGGGAATTGGGTTTTTTTCTGAGACATTGAGCTATCTCTGTCAGAGAGCTCTGGTGCCACAATAAAATACAGTTCCCAGGATTCCCTAACCCTAAAAGTGGACTCAATTTGCACTATTTCTGGCGGTCTGCAAAGGCCCAGAGTGGATGGGAATCCTTTCGAGGAGACAGCCAACGTGGCCTAGTGGTTTGAGTGTTGGACTAGGACTCTGGAGACCAAGGTCCAATTCCTCACTCGGCCATGGAAACCCACTGGGCGACCTTGGACAAGTCACACTCTCTCAGCCTCA